CGTCTGCCTCAGATGCTTGCTGTATATGGAACTGAATACTGGACGTGAATTGTATCATTCTCTGTGTCAACTTGTTAGATGGCAGTTGCTGTAGTGGAGTGGTGAGAGCGGCACATATGCATTATAGGAGAAAATTGTGAAATGACAGATTCCGGGTGTGATACTGAGGGAATGACTAACTAATAGGAGGGGTGCTCCAGGCTGTTAGCTTTGAAAAGCAGTTTGCACATTACTTTATCTTGTCAATCAGATTCCTGGAATGGAAGAGGTGACTGATAACTTGAATTAATTATTTTCTTATTGCATGCATGTGTTAATTCATGTTAATTTATGTCCCTTACAGGCCCAAGCCAGAATATCCAGAGTAAAGCGCCACCTCTGGCACCCAGATCACCACACCACTCTCTTTGCATATATTTATATCAAATGAAAGACTTTTTTTAATCCTGTTGGAACAAGGACTGACTGCCAAATTTGATTTTTAAATGTACTTTTAAGCTGTTCATGGTTTACGTTTGCATTTTTTCTTAACAACTGAACAACATGGAGCAGTATTTACGGCTATGATGGGATTTGAAAGTTACAGATTATTTTTTATAAGTAAATCCTGCCCCTTAAAACATACCCCCTTTCTTCAAAACACAGTTAAATAATGTAGCACAGAGTCAACAGTCATAAGGCATACCATCTACATTCTCTATTTCTACATGTGGTGCATTTTTTTAAATGATGTGGTTCACCCTCCAAAGGTCTAAGGTTTACATTCATAAACATGCTTTTACTGTATTTGATGACAAACAAGAGCAGCGGCAATTCTGTAGAATGCACAGAGCACACTTTAAACAATTGCATTTCACTAAACATCTTTAAACATTTTGACAAATTTAACTTCCCCTGAACACAGAGGATAAGAGGAAAAACATTTCTCTGATGAGAACAGAAACAGCAAGAAGTTCTAACAAGGAAAAGCCTGCCAGGTGGCGAACTGGCTGCACCAACAGAACGCACAATCTGTCTGCTTCTCCTTCCAAACCATTGACAGCTGCCATCACCAGCCTTGCACACTCGCACTCAGTGGCTCCTCAGCTCCCTGCCCATCCCTCTTTAGTGTTTCCTGCTAACCTCAGAGACAGGGTCACCTGGCCCCCTAGTTGCCCGTCTGTGGGGCCCTGCTGGCCCCCTGGAGACCTGCCTGCATGGGGATGCATGGCTAACAGAGGTCTAGCAAATCCTCTTTAATATGCAAACCAGGGGGCTATTCCTTTGACCTGAGACCATAGCTTTTCTAACAGTGAAATCCAAAAATATTCAAGTGATGTACAACGATGAGATTTGATGAGCAGTTTTTGATCTGCAGTCTATTTGATATTGAATATTATCAGAGAAAAACGGTAGAGTATTCAGGTATTTTCTCCTAGCAGGAAGGATATTTCACTTTAATTAAAGTGAGTGAATACCATTATGTTCTCCTCAACCAATTTGAAAAAAATAACAATCTACACTTTTAACATTTTTGTAAAATTGGAACAGCATTTCTCCACTGAGTAAAACCTAAGCACACAGATGCACAGAGGCTAAACTGAAGAGTGTTCCACAAAGCTAGCATTGCAACTGGTCTAAAAATAAAACCTGGCAAAGTTATTCTGATCCCTTATTGGTCCCATAGTTTGATTTCACATTTAGCATTTGCATTCCCCTCCGCATAAACATTTCATTCTTCCCTTCCTGCAGTACAATGAGACTTGAGTGACTTTGGCAGCAGATTTTGGATCGGTGCTCCTGAATCCACCAGTGTATGTTATCAGCAGGTAAACAAGCTTTCGAACAAAGCCATAATGGAACTGCAAGCGGCATAAAGAGGCTCATCTCAAAAGCTATACAACCCATCAAAGCTGGTGTCATTTCCTCAATACTGCACTGCAGCTGGAAAATGCATGGCTGTTAGTTACAGTTTAAATCGCCTGTCTATTTTCAGACACTTCAGAACTATTTGTATTGATTATTTACTTGTCAGTAAGCAGCCAGATTACCAAAATAAAACAACAGATTTTTAATGTTTACTGGATTCTTTTCCGTTTTTTGTTTTGTGGTAGGAAATCAAAAACTGTGTCATGCACTAAATTAATGGGATTTGCACTATAGGGTATTTGAATAATTATTTTCCACTGAAAATGAAATACTTCTGTCTATATTTGGAAGGATTACTGATGGCATTGAACTTAATAATTTGCACTTTAAATACGTAGTTAAGTTATAGCCTACACTTTCTGCTCACCAGATGCAATCTTGTTAGGCACATGCCTGGATGCTTGTCACCAAAGTTTCCACATATTTGCCTTTTGGGTACAGCTCATATGCACAACTAAACCTACGCACTCTCCTCCCAGTGAGTGGAGAAGCCTCAAAGCTTTCCTTTCATATGCTGCATTATCTCTATGGCGGTAATTATCCATAAAACTATGCCATCAGATGGTGATGATTTCCAATATGAACCCAATAAATGTGTTTAAATTTTGAATTATCATATTTATGTGGATATGTGTTACTAATAGTGATTATGTTTGTCATGTGGGTAGAAAATCAAGCATCCTTATATTGCGCGCTCTCACATATTTCTCAGACATTTCATCACACATTTAATCTGCCCCTGTCTAAGATTTTCTACTGAACCTGTAGTCAAGGCAGAGAGGGGACAATAACGGATGAGATTATGAAGCATGTCTGTTAAAGCATGTCTGTTTGATCATCATTCTGTTTAGGTGAAGTTCTCTTCTTGGTCTCTTCAGTCCCTGACAGCAGATATATAACATAATCTCTTCCCCTAACCCTTTTCTTAGGCATGAATAGGGTGGAAATGTGATGGCATTAAGTCGATTTACTCCTTGGTTTGCAGTTTCAGCCTTAATGCCTCTTGGCTCTTCTTCAACACACTCGTTCCATTTAGATTTCGAAAATATAAATGTTATGTTAAGGCTTTCCTATTTATTTTCATTTACCATCATTTGAAGTTCATGCATATATTTACTCTACAAATAATGCTTGTTTATTTGCAGCTCCGTCTATCTAGTATAGTGTCAGAGATATTGGGAAATCAAATACAACTTGTGTATTATCTTCAGATACACAGGATATCAGTAACAAAGGGTGAGATCTAAGACTGGATGACATTCTTTGAGTTGTCAGACATAATTTTGATATTTCCCATTTACTCATCTAAACCTTAATTTAGTGCCTCCAGCATATGTTGACATGCAAAGAAAAGACATTATACTGTGCCTTTGAATTTCAGCTGATGGTATTTGAAAGCTGCATCAATATACCTGTCCTCATACAATTATCGGAGTACATTTGCGATAAAGGTATGCTTTTGTACATAAAAGTTTTAGGCTACTTTTGGACTTGGCATGATAGTCATAAAAGAGATTATTTTGAATGAACTTGTGCATGAAGATATATTGTTAGTAAAGTCAGTATTAAGTTTAAGGGGGGTCTTTTCCTCATGGATTAGTTTATTGCAAGGATTCAACAGTAATGTCACTTCAGTATTACATGACAAAAACATTTGTCCAAGTCTTACAGTCCTCAGAACCCTCAACTCTGTATGAGAACTGCAAGGGGCAATATCTGTATAATTTGTTATTGTCCATTAGAACAGGTGGTAAAACTGTGCAGTTAGGGCGCCTAAACTCAGACTTCAAAAATCCTCTTTTATATTGCCTCTGAAAACTTATTTTATTATTTGATAATTATCTTATATTTATTATATTCTATAACTTACTTTGTAATGTGTTTCCATGTGTAGGTTGGTATGTTTGTATGTAATATATATGTACATGCATTTTTGTTTATGACCATCTGGATTTTTATGACATACTATTTTCAGTTTGTATGTGTATTTTGTTATTTACCTGTAAAGCTCTTTGTTATCTCTAGCTTTGAGAATTCCTACAAAAAAATTATTATTTATTCTAAAACACGCCAAACAGAGGTTTGTAACGTTTTTTTAAAACAGTTTTCCGTTGAATTAAATCATAAATTCCTGTTACAATAAATATTACAAAACAAAAGCAGAGATGCAGACCACATTGTACAATGCATACAGCTCAACAGTCAATTTCACAATACAGTATTGAAAGATATAGTGTTCCTTCTATAAGTGTTATGGAAAGTAGTTTGACAGCAAGTGAAAGGCAGTTTTAATGGTGGTACTAGCTAGAGACTACACATGGCAATGTTAAATCCCATTCAGCCTGATGAGAGTGACTCCCAGCAGCACTGAGCTCAGTGGGGGGTTGTAAACATTTACACTAAGAGCCTGTCCAGTGCACATGGTTGGTGCTTGCCAGCCACCTCGGTATCGAATGTTGTGTTGCATATTTTGTCATTCAGGCCTGTCCCGAAATTGTAGGAATCACACCATCAATTTATGAAGGAGCCATCCAAATGTGACAACAGGCTTATGCTAAATGGAGAAAATAGAGCTAAACATTGTTAAAACACCCCTAGACCCACATGGTAGAGAGTGCTCGGCGGAGAGCTGCTATGCTCCCCGCTGTGAACTGGGAAAGTGATGTTGGTGGGCTTCCTTCTCCATGAGGGCCGCATCGTTCTTGGGCCCCGATTTGAAGCCTTTTTGAAGTCTGTTTCCTGCAGTAGCGTGCCAACATTAATGTTTCCACAAAAGCAAAAACGCTAAATCAAATGAATACACTATACTGTGCTATTCCACATTGACTCCTACCTCCACCAGAACATTTTAAAAGCATCATTAAAAAGCTGTTTCCTATATATGTCCTAAAAGTCACTAACGTGTATTTGATTGTATTTTATTTCATAATAACAAGCCAGAATAAAATGGCTTCTCAATACAGTAGTTAATACAGAAATCTCAGTAGGTGAGTGACTCTTGATGATGGTGTACTAGTGTCCAATAGTATTGTGTACTTTCCTTTGCATCACCTACAATTCCCAATATAGAACAACAATAATTGGACATATAATATGTTTGGGATCAATCCTTTATTGTTTCAAAACTCTATCTTTTACAATACAGTCATTTTTTGTTACATGTGTGATTTGATGGGTAATGTACAATGTCCTCTGATAATGAAACACAGTCACAAAGTATTCCTTTCTACATATCAATATTCTATAATAGTGAGAAGTTTGTGCTGATATATTTACTTAGTTCTGACAGCTCAATTAACTTCCCTTTTCAAATCAACAAAAAGCATTGTTTTTGAAAGTGCATTTCAAGGATTGCAAAGATGACTGTTTCCATCAGTCAGCCATAATGTACATTTCAGTATTGACAGAGGGCCACACTGCTTTTGTGAGTAACAAACAGCATTAACTACATTTCCAACTACAACATTTATCTGGATAAGTAAATCAAAGAAAATATATCAATATGCATGCCATGAACATTCCTCCATAAACATTTATAATAAATGTATATTTTTATTTAATTATGTTGATAATGACAGTATTTTCCACAAAAGGACAAATGCTGATAATGACAACTAATATTTACCATCCAAATTTTGTTAATTTTAAACACAGGGCAAATGGCATAATGCCACAGTGTACAGGGCAATGCCCTAATAAAGTTAATAGCATTTGGTCCACAATAACAAATCTGGGTTTAAAAGAAAACAAAAATGTGGTAGCAGGTGGGATTTTCAACTGAAACTCAAAATAGCATGATGACTCTCTTAATTCTTTCCATTTTGAAGGTCTTTCAATTTTCAAGTCATGAATTATGATGTGAAGTTTCTGTTCAAAAATTAAGCAATATAAATATACATTTTAGCTCATTACTTGGCTATTATACTTTTCTGTTCCATGGAACAGCTTTCACTCTGTAGAACTTGGTTCCTAAAGGAACCTTGAACCTGTTCTGGGCCTAGTGAAGGAAAAGAGAAAAGGAAAGAAAGTATTGTAAGACAGAAAGCAGGTTCAAACCACACATACATGAACATAAACAGCATCACTGACATGGATCAAGACAATACATCAAGACAAAATTCTCAGTGTGGAAATATTCACTAATTTCCAGAACCACACTTTGTAAATGTCAATATACTTATTAAATGTTTATGGAAAACACAAGTCTAAAACACTTTTTGTTAATTCAGTACCTTTTTTGCCTGGCAATATTCCTTCTCCATCACCTTTCCAAGTACCCACGGCCGCCTTGAGGTCCCTGATGCTAAAAAAATTAAACAAATTGCCTTATTAAATAAATACTCATTGAACACTCAGTTAAACAACAAATAACTGACTGTGTGTGTAACATAAAGTTTATGAAGCTAATTATAGCATCATCTATAATTAGCTATAACTGACACATATTTATATTATTAGTAAATTAAAAATCAAATGTTTAACACATCAGTTCTCATCATGGTCACAAAAGGTCTGGCCAAATCTGACCTGGTTTGAGGTCCAGTGCAGTGAGAGACTCTGAGTGGAGGAAGTAGAGGGTGGGACCAACTGTGAACAGCACGTAGTTGTCATGCCTTTCATCCAGGATGATTAGAACCAAATCGCCTACCTGGAAACTAAAGCACAAAAAGGTGGACAAAGAGATAGAGGGATGATGACATTGTTCTGCAAACTGCAAACAAAATAAAGACTACAGATTAATAGTAATTATACAATCACATGTATAATTACACTGCATGTAATGGTGGTCAGAGTTATAGCTTTTAAAAATGGTATATAAAAAAATAAAAATCACATCAGCAAGTGCATGCAAGTCCATGTGTTATTTTTTATTTACTTACTCTCTGATGGCGATTTTGTCTGAATGCCGTGACGACACAGACGACATGCTTTGAGACATCTACAAAGAAAAGGATTAGCGCAATGTTACACATGTTAAACTGAAGAGTTAACAATACAGGCTAAATTGGCTATAGTTGACTTAACATTTGTCTTATTGGACATTCACTAGAAATACTTTTAGTAATTAATATTAGCACCTTTACCTTATTATACTCTAATCTAATTTCTGTTTTATCCTCCTTTGTGAATAATGCAATATCAGGGCTGATTAAAAGATTTTAACACATATTAGTATATATGTTTTTGTTCCAAGCATGCTATTTTACTATAATTCCGCCCTCTACACATTCTCTACCTAAAAATTTAATTTTCTTCACTGAGCTCTTTGGCCTCCTGGGTCAGGATTTTACGCTTTGATGCTACTGCCACCTAGTGGAGCAGGCGTTACATAGCCCACGGAGATAATAAATAACTGACCAGTCTTTGACTGAGGCGCTTGTTTTCTTCTTCCTTCATGTGTAAAGTCTGAAACATATATTAGATTGATTAAACAGATAGAGACATCCAGAAACAGAGTCTTGAGCTCGCAAATACAATGTGACAGAAACAGTGTGTCTATTTACCCTCTCAAGTAAGAGTATCCGCTGTTTCTCCTCTGATATCAGGATGTTATCACTATGAGAAAAAAAAATCAGATTACCAATACATGTCCACAAAACTGTATTTATTATGTATAAAAAGAAAATAAATCAAAATAGGAATTGGTTCTCATCTTTAATCTTGTAACTACTTAATAGATGTAAATCTTCATAGTAATAAATAAAAAACTTACACTTTCTGATCCTAGCCTGCCTTCCTTTCTTCCACTGTCAAATGTCCTTTCTGTCCATCCACTTTTGGCTATTTTATACAACGGTCCTTTTTTTTTTTTATTCAATAACACCTCTTTCTGTCTGTGACTTGCAATCAATTCATGTCATCACAACTAAAGTCTCTATAATGTGTCTAAGTGCAGCCAGGGCTGCTGTGAGTTTGCTATGGTTATGGTGTATATAGCAAATGTGCAAAAGAATATTAACATAATATTGTGATTGATAAAAATTAAATATTTTTACCCTTATGTACAGCAATCTAAATAAACCCATATCCCAATAAGATTATGTGTCAGAATGAAATGTATTAGTTTCTGATCCCATGCTTGTGAAAGCAATAGTGTTATGATGCAGAAAATGTATTCTTAACCTCTAAATGTAAAATGTAAAAGTAAAACACATGTATACTGTAAAGGAAAATTGTGTTGTATCTCTCCTCTACACAGATTGCCCTCTCAGTGAACTGCAAAAACACTCTGACCTAAAAATGAAAATCCCTTTTGGCTTCAGCATCACATACTGTTTGTCAATCTTGATTCAAAAATAAGGTGGCTAGCTATGTATGTCAACACAGGCCTTTATGTAGGTTAACGCAATGCATGTTTATTGTGTGCATGAAGATATGTAACTGTTAAATATATCAAGTGAGATCACAATCACTACAATATATCTCAAGCTATCAAAAAAAACAATGTTGACTGGAGAGAAGATGCTTACTGGACTGTCACCATGCTGGCTTCCACCGCTGAATCAACATGTTCATCATCTCGAATGGCTGCCACAGAGGCCAGTCTGTCACTTTCAGCCATGGACTCAGAGGAAAAAGGCCCAGCAACAGGCAGAACTCGAGCTGCTGCAGCTCCAGCTTCTGTGACCTCCTGAGCTGACGGGTTGGGAGTGAAGAACGCAGAGGAGACCAGTGCAGTGCTGCGCAGGCGGTTAAGCTCTTCTTCCAAGTGTTTCTTCTCCTGCATGAGACTAGCTCGGTCCTCGGAGAGTGTCTCTATCAGACCTGCAATAAGTTAAGATAAATAAGAAACACTGACAGGCACAACATGCCAATTTATAACATGGAACCTCCAAGAATGGATATTCTGAAATTATGGCAGTAAGTAGCAGAGAAAAAGATAATATTATACCTAATTAATGGTTATAATCTACAAGATTACATTAAAACGTTGTTAGTCAACACCTTTTATTTAACAAAGATATTATGTTTTTAAACATGTGCATCATGTTTAATACTTTAAAAAAGCACATAGTATGTACCCTTATCCTTGTCTTGCTGTTGGGTAACTTTCCGCAACTCCTCTGTGAGCTCACTAATGATCTGCTCCTTCTTCAGCTTCTCTCGAGTTAGAACAGTGTTGAAATTAGTCTAGAGAAACAAAAAAATGTTTTTAGAGTTTGAACAAGCCATGAACAGTCATTTTGGTCATAGAGAATTTAAACCAAAGAACAAATGACTTGAGAGGATGTCTTTTAACTGCTAAGTTCTAACAACGCAGATCAGCTTGCAGCCATGGGAGTTAGTTGTTATTTTTGGTATTGTCCCATATCTGATCTTTTCTTTGTGTTTTATACCCAGTAAGAAAATGATATTTTTAGGAAGGGTGGTGCAACACAGAGGGGTCTGACCAAGATTAGTGCCAGCACAGACAAAAAAAAAAAAGCCTACAGCTTAACTTGAAATTGAATGCAACTGGTTGAGTGTGACAGTGTCAATAACTATTAAAAATTAATGGTTTCAGAAATAAGTACTCTGTAATATATTGGATTGTAATACAATGTAAATCGTCACTCTGTGTAACGTTGACTAGGCAGTGATTAAATGTAATTAGGAAAGCATTCACACTATGGGTGTGATGAGATCTCGTAAGATAAGGTTACGAAACTCACACAATTGACATTTTTTACATCCTTTCGTGCCACAGATCAATTTTGTCATGCAGTGAAAAAGAAATGTATAACTGATAACGTTGATTCGCGGAGTGAATTAGATCCGCTGCGATAGTGATCAACTCAGACAGTTGAGACGAGTGGTGACGTAGCTGGTAGAGATTTGCAATATAAACATCTAAAAACTGAAGCATAAACTTACTGTTTGGGACTGTGAACCGCATATTGTCAGATGTGCTTAAGTTAACAAGTGTGTGGATTTCTGCCTGATCATTAGTGTTGTCGGTTGGTTTCGGTTTCGCATGCAACATGCAAACTGTGTTGATCAAACGATCTGAAGGGAATACTACCACATGAGCAGAACAATAACGTAATGCACAGCAGAGTATAGGGCAGGTAGACAAAAAAAAAAAATAATTTCTTTAAATGATGCCGCTCTTCTAATAATATATTAAGTCTTTTCTCATGAGAGAGATGTCAGAGATTTGTAGATGTAGATTTTAAATGTGAAAAAAGTTTTGAATAAGAGCAGAAAACCTGCTGAAACAGAGGAGTTTTAACTGAATTAAAATTAATTAATCTATCATTGAGGTGAAAAGGTGCCACAATCACATTTAAAGTGGTTACTTCCCTAAACGAAAAGACGCAGAGGAGCGAAGACTAAATCATGTGTGTTGACTCAGCAGGGATGATATTACATGAGAAAAGTTGATCTACACGAGAAACATAAGCATTCAAAACAGAATGCCTGAGCTGGACTGTATTATATTATTTGTTTCCCTACATAAATAAAAATATTTCTATCATAACCTGGTGTAGAAAAAATGACCAGAATGAAGGAAATTAAGTGCTCAAGATTTCTCAAAAAAAAAAATAGTTTTACAATCTTGTTTCGATCTCATGAACCCAATCTTGTGTCTCGTCTGATCAGCTAAGTGTCTTGTCACACCCCTAATTTACACTACACTGTATGCACTCTGTTGCCAGTTTATTAAGTACACAGAGTAAAACAAATACAGTCTAATACAACAGTGTGTGGCGCTGCTGAATTGTATTACATTGTACTGAATGGTTTTCAAATATTTAGTCTCTTCTCGTTGATATAAATGGAATGGACAAAATATTAGTATCCCTCTCAATCTCTAAATGTTGCAGAGCTTACTGAATATTGACACATTTTCTGGGTACTTACTAATACAAATTGTGAACAATAGCCAATAACTGTGCAATATTTCTTTGACTATGCAAGAAACTTAGAGAAAGTTTTATTTACTAGTACACTTCAACATCACGAGACAGTACTTTCCCACCTATTTACAGCTCAAAATACAAACCTGCTGCTCTGCGATTAGTGATGTCTTAAGGTTCTGTATCTCTTCGTTCTTCTGCTTCTCCAGGATCTCCAACTGGAACTGTAGCCGCTCTTGTAGTGCCGAGTCTAGAGACAGAGGTGCTCCGGCATCTGCACACCCCTCAGCATGCAGCGGCAACCCTTCATCACTGAAAGGCACAAAATAAATTTTAATTCTGGCAAAGCAAAGTAAATTATCTGGATATACAAGCACACACAAACACACAGACTAGTTAACTACAACAAACAGCACAATAGACTGTTTACTTATCTAACCCTAGATTTTCTTTCAATGTAAAATTTTAAATGTAAGCAGCAGATAAAATTTACACAAAAGTTTCACTAGTCAGGTTTTTTAAAACCAAAGCTAGATTTCTATATGTGGTGCGTCTGCCATTGTGATCAATCATTTACCTTTTTGAGGATTTTGTCTCACGAAGCTCTTTTTCAAGTTGTCTAATTTTGTCTAACAGTCTCTTCTCTATCTCCTCCTTTTGTTGCTCTAACTCTTTAAAGGAATCTAATGATGCAGCCTTCGATGCCTCTTCTTTTTCTAAATCTTTCTCATTTGCTTTTCTGTCCTGCTCTAGTTTTTTGGAGAGCAAGTCTTTTTCTGCCAGCAAATTGCTGATAACAGTCCTCAACTCTTGCTCCCGTTCTTGGAAACTCCTCAGCTGCTCTTCTTTTTCTTCACTTAGAGCAGCCACTCGCTGGTCTAATTCCTGCTTAAGTTTCCGCTGCTGCTCTGCATTGTTCCTCTCAGCATCCTGGGTTTTCTGCTGCAGGGAAGAGAGCTCATTGCGCAACAAAATAGTCTCCTCCTCGTGTCTGTCCACCAGCTCTGAGATGCAGTGGTCCTTCTCAATCCTCATGAGAGTCCTCAGCTCTGCTAGATCCACTTCATACTCCTCATTTTTGACCTGAAGCTGTTTTTTGAAATGTGCCAGCTCTTCGCTAAGGACTTTGGTCTTAGCCTCCACCTGGGACTCCACAGCCTCAGCCTGCTGCATCTTGGCCTCCTCAAATAAGAGTCTCACCTCTTCTGTCTCTGACTCTTTGAGGGCTAGCTCCACCTCTAGTTTGCAGCGAAGTTCTGCCAGCTCAGTAATTCGAGTCTCCAGGTCCTTCATTTGGTTGTCCTTCTCTCTAAGCGCACTAGCATGGTGATCAGCTGCCTCACTTAATTTTGCACAATTTTCAGCAGCCAGATGTTCAAGAGCCTCCTGGTTACCCTTAATAATGGTCTCCAGTTCTGCCTTGTGTTCCTGCTTCATTCTGTCCTCCAGCTCCTTCAAGTGGGACTGCTCAACCACTTCCAACTCTTCCCGGATCTTCTGCTGGCTATGTTCAATCTCACAGTGCAGATTCTTAAGCTGGCTGGTCAAAGAGTCTATTGAAGCCGAGAGCGTCTTGATCTCTCCAGCTTGATTACTGATCATCTGTTCTTGGTTTTTGATCCTATCTGTCTGGTTACTCTCTGTTTCAGCCCATCGTTCTTTGTCATTCTCGAGCTGAGCAAGTTCTTTCTCTTTGCGCTCCATAAGCCCCTCCAGCTCTAGCATTGCGCGCTGGACATCTCTGACAATGTTCTGGTTTACTTGGTTTTCCTCTGCTAGTGTGTGAACCTGCTTCTCAAGCTCTTGCCTAAGGGAGAGAAGCTCACTTTGATGCTGCTCCTTCAGTTCAAGTTCATGGGTCTGGCAGATGCTGTCCACAATGTTGCGCACCTCTGTAGTCAAACTCCTCAAGACAAAGCCAAAGTCATGTTGTTCTTTTAACACCAGGCCTCTTAAGTGACAGAGGTCATCCTTTACACTTCTTAAGTTGGAATGGGACTCCTCGGCCGCTGATCGGTACTTGTCAATAACTTGTTTGAGGACCGTGATCCTTGAGTTCTCCCTCTCTAGTGTTGTGGTATCCTGCATACGCTTGTTGTCAATAGCATTGATGACTGAAGAGTACAGCGACTCGACCATCATTTCAGGGCTGATAGGGTCACTGATGGGGTTAGGAGAGGTCAAGTTCTCTTCAATCACAAACTCATTAACAGCAGACATGAAGTCAGATTCGGGGCTTTCTGCTAGAGAATCCAAGTCAAGGGAGCCCTGCTGCAGGACTGGATCCATGTTCGGATGGCCAATGGTTTCGAAGTCAAATGTTTGTGCATCTATGCTGTCTGGGGATAAGTCCTCTAGAGGAGCTGGGACGGGAACATGTATAGGCTGGCAGCTGGGTCCCTGAAGGCTAAGAGAGGATGGGGTTTTTGTGGACATCGGTGTCGTAGTCCCAGGTATGCTTTCAGACTGTGGGGTGAACAAGGCTGATCTCTGACTATAGGATACCTGCAAAGACAGAAGAGGAGGGAAATATATAAATAATTAAGAAAAGCAAGAGCAAAATCTTACTATGTATAAAAAACATTTCATACTGCCTATAAGGAATATTTACAAGAACATTTTTTGATTTTAAAAGCAACCAGCCTATCAAAATGACCACTTACTAAATAACACAAATAAAGGTTGTTAATAAAGCTGTGATTACCCTTTGCTCACTTAGCAGGTCAGTAATAGTTTGAGACATCTCATCCACACTCTGTGCAGCTTGGACCAGCTGATGGAGTGTCTCTACATGCCGATTCAAGGGCTCGAAGTCGCACATTGTGGGAAGCCTGCAGGAAAAATATTAGGAATAAAATCAAGAACAGAATGTTCAAAAACATTGAGGTTTTCTTTCAGTACTAACAATCTAGGGCAGAGGAATGTGAGTTCATGCAAGAAAGTAGAAATGTCTGAATTGTCATCTTCTCTTTCACAGAAAGGGCTTACTTGTGAGAAACACCATCAACAGCCTTGTTGAAGTTGTTTTCTGTTCTGTTTGTTTGATTGTTAAAACATATTTGATTATCACATCAATTTGCACAAATGTTTCAAACGTCCATGTGTGTTTTTATTGGCCGTGTATTTGGACATTTCCGGTATTGTCACATTACTGACAAGGCTATACCTAAAACCATTTCAATAACTAAGGACAGTGACTTACATAAGGAACGGCTGCACTTCTAAAGGACAACAAGATTTCAAGTACTGCAGGTCCTCAACGGAGATGTCTGGAAGTTCATCATCAAACCTTCTGGGCTTTCGTGTCTATAAACAATAAACAGAGCAAAAGAAGAGACCCCTCTCAAAATACAGTGGATATAATATACATCATAATACCGACTTGGTCAAAATAGCCTAAAATATTAACTTACACAAAATGATGTTGGTGGCCATGAATCAAGTCCTCTAAACAAACGATTTCTGAGGAAAGACTTCCCTGAAAGGAAATAAGTACATAGAACAGAACTCTGAATTTGTGTGTTATTTCAAAAGCACATTGTGCTCAACAGTGACAACTCAAATGTCATCAGCTGAGAGTTTTCAAGAGACACTTACTGAAGAGCTTCCCAAAGGATTCCCTTTTGAACTTCTCGGCCTCGTACAGTAGTTTCCCGTCCTTCACAAGTGCATAAGCCCACTGAAAAGATTAACCGTAAACATCTTACAACAACAAAGTAATAATTGTGTTTCTGACAATGCCCACTCTCAGTTGGAGGCATTCTTAAGCATAGTTTTCATGTTGCTGCTATAAGGCAATTTTCTATTCCAACTTGTTTCATTCCTGTTCAAAAATGTACAGTCAGTGTCTTATTGTTGCAAAAGAAGGAGGTCAGGCTCTGAAAAAGGAAACTGTTTAAGACACTACAAAGGGAAAGCAAAGAAATGCAACAGGGGTGGCTTCCTGTTGCATCAACTACAAGGAAAAAACAAAATCAGCTTAATAGAAACAAATATGAGCAATGAGCAAAATCAATTCCATTTTAGCTTCTAACTATTTCCCACTCTTACTGTGCATTTAGACAGAAATACAAAGAAGAAAGACAGCAGTCATTGTCACTTGGAGCGTAAAATATATGCAGCAGCCCTCGACAAAGATTCAAAGAGCTGATGAAGTTTCAGCCTTTTGCTAATGAAATGGGCACAGCCATCAATAGCTCAACTCCAACACGCCTAGTCCTTCATGAGCCTGCTAAATAGGACGTCCCACATGAAAGGGCACCATGACCGGTTTAATTTCCAGCAAAGATATAGGACTGCAACGCCAATCAAAAACAAGCATTCCCTCCAAAACATAAAAAAAATTAAATTAAAGACAAAAAAAATTTATTTACTTAATTGTCAAGCACACATAAACAACATAATAGGCCTGTACTTTCTTAATCATAGTGGCAAAGTCAGAGAACAACTGCCCAATTAAAGCTGAATATGTACATTATGTGTTCGCCACTAAACACGCGCAAAAGCGTGAAGTGAAGCAAAAGATCTCACCATGTCTGAACAAGCGATTAGTGTCCAATAATGGCTTTTAGCACTGACCTCTCTGTAGTGGCGCATAAACATTTTCCTCCTGACGACTTCCACCACTGCCAAGCAGTACATCTGGGGCACTGTACTGAGGGCCTCCACCACCCTCACTCTTTCCATTAGCTCTGTCAGAAGTCTGAGTAGAGCCTGAAGTTTCTCGCCATCCTGGTCTGCATGAAGCATCACGTAGCAGCACCATCTAATGCAAAGTCGTTTGAACCGTTAAAAGCTGCAAACATGATTCTCTGGACCAAAATTCAACAGAATGAGCCAAAAGCACTATGCGCTGTGCATAGTGCTTTTGGCTCATTCTGTTGTTATAAAACAAGCGCAACAGGCAATAAACATTGGGGAAGAAAAATTATTTTCAGTTTTACTTGAGTCGGACTTGAAGGTTGTTTGCAAGTTCTTGTTTGGCAGTGGTGCACTTCTTTTTGATGTCCAGCAGCTTCCTGTGGTTGTTCAGCATGATCATCAGCTGGTTGGTGTGACTCAGACACAAATCTGGCAGAACAGATGTATCCTTCAGGTTTTCAGCACGCTTCTGATTGGCCAAAAATCCCTGCAAGAGGCAACATGTAAGCACAATTCAAAACAAAACTTAAGGAAGAGGAAGTCATATCAAAGTGTTTATCTTTTACTTTACGTACCTGAGCAAGTTCTTTCTGTTCATTTACCAACTTCTTACAGCTTGCAATCATTTGGTCTAGAGCGTACAACCTGTCCTCAAGCCCCTTGATGGCTTTCATGTTTTGATTATCTAGCTTGGCGATTGTGTCACGACAATCTGCCAGGAAGGGCTGAATGATCCGTGGGTCAAGCTGAAAGAAACATCTCAGTAAATACTTCCAGGATTTTTTACACCACAATTTATGGCCAACTATTTAGAAGACTATTTTGACATGTCTATTCATACATCCGTGACTCACCCTATTGATGGAGTCAAAGCATTTCCTCACAACTGATTCCACATCATTGGGTCTGTCTTGCACATTGATCCAGTCCAATAGTGTGACATTGAAGGAGGATGGGTTGGCAAACTCTGGAGTGTCATCATCCAATAGTGCAGCTCTCAGCCCACCACTGTCAGTCATTTCATTTGTTTCTTGGTCTCCAGTTGGCTCACATGTGGCTGCCCCTGAAGCAGAGAAGGATGTTGATAACTTGGAAGGCCGTTGTGCATCGGTAGGTTGACGCACAGAGTCTGTGGATTTTTCTTCTTCCGTCTCATCTGAATCCTTTCCTGGGGTTGAGCTGGACCTCTCCATGCTCTCTCTATAACTGTGTCTTGTCAAACATTCCAGCAGGGGTATCCTCGCCATTACAGAAACTGCTGTCCCTAACCTGCAATCATAATAAAATGTACATTAAGAAATCAAGTTCATCAAGCTCATTTCTTTTTAGCAATACTATATTACTACTTACATGTATTTACTGTTATTTCAGTTATTTAATTGAGGTAAAATTGTGATGAAATCATTTCTACTAGTAATTACTAATGAGTACACAGTAATATGTATTTCAAGTTCAAAATGATTGGATAGGATTAGCAAAGCACAAAATATCATGTTCTCCGTGTCAACACTTACTTCGTAAGTTTCACTTTAATTTCTTCCAAGTCACGTTGGTAATTTATGTATGCAGTGTCAAATTTCATGAGTAACTTCTGATACGAGAGTGTGCAGTCATCCAGATTAGCCATAATAGCAGCCCAGCCTTGGTGTTGAAGGTGTTCATCATGAACCAAACGTTCACAGAAAGAGCTAAGTTTATTGGCAACTTCAAACATTTCCTGGAGGCAAAAAAACAACAACATATATATATATATAAAAATCGCAGGAAAAGTTAAAAGTATTCCATTGTTAACAGATTAGTAACAATGATTTTATATTATACTTCAAGAGATACATGTAATTTTAAAAAATGTGGTGGTGTACTATGACAGGGAAACATCCCAAAGCAATTTCTTAAGCCAGAGATGCCCCAATTAAAAAACAAATACAAAAAATAGATAACTACCAGAGCAAGTTGTGTTCGTGAGGCAACAGTGTGAAAGACAGCTGGCATAAGTAGAGACTCTTCCACCTTAACCTGAATCTCACTCTCAATTGAGAAGGTGGTTTTGGGGATCATTGGATCCCGGTCACACAAAATCATCTCTTTGTTGAACAGGAATATGGGGTTGGTTTCCTGAAGACCAACAGAAAGACATCAGTAATCAGAACTTCACATTTGCAACCTGTACACATTCAAGGCAAAAACAAAAGCACATAGCTAATTGTGTAAACTTACAGTGCCAGCACTGTAGCTGCAGACACGTCTTTCTGCAGCCATACATTCCCCTCCATTGACAACAAGGACTTGATGTTGAATTGCAATCTTATATTTGGCTTGGATGGCATGTTTAAGCTCCAGCACACTGAAACAGATGAAGTATTTATTTAGGTTACAACAGCCAAGATGTACTGACCACTATTTCTGACTAAACTTGTTAAAATTCAAGGTTCTTACGTTTGGACAGCAAGATCAGTGTCAAATGTCAATGTGCTGCCATTGTTGACCTGGAACACATACAACTTCATGTTGAATCTCCCAGAGTTCTTCGCAATTGCCTGTCTTGCTCATTTAGTCATTCAAGGCCACCCTGCGAAAAAACACAAACATGAGATGACTATACTGTCAGTTTTTAATATTTTTATCATTAAGTTATGGTAAGAGGTGATTATTGCCACTTACTCAAACCACAATGCGACAAAGCTTGATTAATACTGTACCTATGTGAGGTGTTTCCTAGCTACAACATAGAGTATGCTTATGTGTATGAATATTATTACCATGGTCTATTTATAACATTAGCTTTAACGAAAGAACAAGTCATCTCATCCACGTGAAATTGCAAGGACCTTGCAATTTCGTGTCTACTGAATAACAACGGTAGTACGTTAGCTGAGTCACCATGTCATTGGTGTCAGAATGTGAAATTTGTACGTTGGTTAAGTAACATGTAAAGTATGTTGGTGTAATGTAAGACAAAGTCAAACTTTCAAAGACTGCCTGAAGATGTAGATCCTTCACATTTGTTGACGTTTATCTGGACAGTGACGAGCCAGAAGACAGCACCGATGAAATAACAAGTTACAGATACGAGTTAACGGTAACCAATACCTGTTGTTAGCGTGACAATATAAAACATCACCAATGTTGCTATCACAGATGTGGACGTTGGTTAACGTTAGCCAATTACCGTCAATAACTGTATGCACGTCTGCGAGCCTCCTATCAGTCAGGGCTACCCGAGTATTAAGTAAATGTTTATCTTTGCTGTTTATTAAGACTGAGAATACTTGCACCAAACTGCTTTACCCCGAGGCCTCCAGTTAGTCATGGTTACAGTGCCAAAGAAGGGGCCACCAGTAGCAGCTGCTAGCAAGCTAGCTAGTCAATAATAACCCGCTGAATGCGCTAACTGGCTATTAGCTAACACAGCTGTCAGGCTAGCGCAGAATAGCCATTTCAAACGTCGATGAATTTGACAAATGTAATAAGATTAGCCAAAGTAGTCAGTATCACCTGCTTGAACTTATATTGGCATAAGGGTGACATTCCACACTGTATTAATTGAATAAATGATTTCGTTGGTCTTACCTCACTTTGCTCGCATCTCCCTGTTCTTGGTCTCCACCTCGTCTAGGCGAGTTGGCTAGCTAACAAGCTAGCAACTAAGCTAGCTAGCTAACCAGTTTTAGCTTGGCATACATAGAGCTAGCTTAGCAAGCCACTTAGCTAACGTTAGCTGAACTACATTAGGCTACAAAAACTGACAACCATGGTTAGTTACACAGATGAACCATATTGCTGTATAAAAAGTGTAATTAAGCAAACTCCAGCCAAAATGGTGTAACACGGACAAAACCAACAGTTGTTTATTTCAGGTAACTAGCAAACTAGCTAACACCCTCTCAGTAGCCCAGTCTGTTTTGTTGTTGTCATCTGCTGATGTGCTGTCTGTAAACGATCCGACCTGCAGCCGTCTAAGTGAACATTAGCATAACAGTTGTTTTGGAAACTAGGTTAATTTACTACTTTTAAATTATAAGTTAAGTTGTACCATTTATGCAGAACTTAAATGCATATGGAGTTTTTAAAAATACATCATTTCAGTATGCTTAACGTTACATCAAAGATCCAAGTATATCACTGAGCTACATGGTGTTAAGAAACTTTTTAAAAAACATTTTAATGTAGCTGTAGTAAAGGAAATGTTAAGCTTTTACTAGTCTGCTTTATTCCCTGCTTTAATTAAGGCTATGTTCAAAATTAGTCTGTTGATATTTGTTTATTCACTTCTTCTTTTCTTTGGCCATAATACTTCTTTTCATATGAAATCAAGTCATTTTCATTTCAAAGAAAGATCTTTCAAGAAATTCAGACTAACATCAGACCTAACTTATATTATAACATTTTGTTCCATGTTTTTAGTTATATAATTTTATTCTTTAATTTTTGGTTTGTTGGTCACATACATAGACTCATACACCTACTGGGATCAAAAAGGGAAATTAACAAATATGTGTATCCAACTGAACAAGTTCAAAGGTTTCGGCTCTTACATCGATGTCAAATTTCCCATCTTTATATTCGTTCGTCACGTAGGTTCGTCACTGTACTTCTCCAGGTGCATTCTGGGAAAAAACTGAAAAAACTCTGTGGAGTGTTTTGCTGCAACATGAGAAGGGGTGTGGTTAATGTAAGGCTGCAGTGTGTGAATGATCCGTTTTGCTGCAGAGAGGAGGTAGTTTGGGGGTTATCGCCAGCTCTGGTGGAATTTTATTAAACAAAAACTTTTCATCGTCTTATATATTCTTTATTGGACATACTTGTAGTAGTTTAAGACATGAAAGGGAGAGGGAATTTGCTCTAAATAAAAACACCCCTGCAAAGTTGCAGCAACCGATTTAGATTTTCTCTGGTTAAGTGGGTGAGCTTCAACACCAGAGAAGATGGGACATTAATATAACCGATATCTCTGACAACTAGTCAAACAAACAATCAGTACAGTCATTTTTGCATCCCAAGCTGAATGTTTTTTTTAGGAAGACCAAATACCTGCTGCCAAGTAGATAAATACAAAAAAATGCCCTAGTGTCCAAAGTCATAAATGAAAGTACAATCATTAATGTTATTACTCCCCAATGTCTACTTTGCTAAATTGAATGTATGCTTGTGGGAAATGATGAGGCTAGAGCCGTATCCCATATATAATCTCTGTACATTATGTACTTAATTTATTAAAATAAACAAATCTATCCCACATGAGTTGGCTTATTAAAATTATGCCTAGTTACACCATAACTGGCAGTGATGTATAGTGTGAATAACCTGTTATTGTGAGGGTTTGTGTTTGACAAACTGTAAAATACAAATTTAATTGGAATGGGGAAATTAAACTGCATGACAAGTTATGTTACTATTTTGTTTATAAATTGTCATTTAGCTGAACTGACCCTTTAATGCTTGGAATGTTTTATAAGCCAAACTCCCACTAGAGGTCACTGTATCACAATCATTTATTTCACCCAGACAAATCAAAAGGAAAGAAATGGGTGTTTCCTTTATCTTTCTATCACTTCAGTCAAAATTCTTGGAACAAAGAGTGTTCAAATATGCTACCTACAACCAGTGACCTCCTGTGCAGTGCACAAAGTCACTGTGCAAGAGGTCACTGTTGCCATTAGAAAATGTCCACTCCCATGTTGTAATCTTGATCAGCAATGCAACAGCGTAAATAGGACGCGGTTCTTTAACCAGAGGATCAGGGTCAAACCTCTGCTGTTGTGCTTTTTGAATGGTGCAGAAATAGTTTCCATGTGAATGATGTAACCACACAATTTGAATTTGCACATTTAATGAAGGCGACACAGTACCAAAAATCCAAGTAAGGACATATTTCTCATATTACATGTTCAATGGGCTACGAATGCCTACATTTTCTTTGGCAGCCAAAAAGTCATTCCCAGACAAAGAACTGTATGGTATGTCATGATGTTACTTAGATTTGTGTCAGTCAGACCCTAGTGAGGCCTGACTGCCCAGACTGACTGTGGTGGAGTCAAGCTCAAGCTCAAAATCATCTTCCTAAGAAAGTCTCATAAATTAGATAAATCATGACATATCAAAGAAATAAACAATGTTACATGTGTTTTTTTAGCTGAAAAGGCACAGGGTCTCCAGGTCTCTTAACAGAACACTGTGGTTACAAGAAGCCTACTATTGTTTTCTACCTGCATGTCCATTAATCAAACATGTCTTGCATGGCCAAGCTTTGTTCAAATCTACAGAACATAATTTTTAATTCTTTTCTACAAGATTTCAAGATTTCCAAAGACGACAGCTTATATGAATCATTGCTACGAGCAGAAAGAAATATTCCATTATTTGTGTGAGACAATATTGAAGTATTATGGCTTTTGTAAATTTGTTGCCACAAAATGTGTTGTTTTTAGGTGCTGTTTTGGATAAAGATAAACTCCCTGACTTTCTTAAAGTGTCCAATAGTCACCCACATTTCTTCCCAGCTCATTGTTCATGTGAACTGTGTTGATTTACTTGTTCTGCTGTAATCAAACACAGATGCAATCTGTAACAAGTTACACAATTACTTGTTTTTCTAGCTGAAAATAAACTCCATTAAAGTGTATTTTGTATTTTTGTTCAGTGTGTTTGAAATTGTTTACTAACTTGAACCTGAGCAATAGAAAAAATGTGAGGAGCTCCACCAAAACAGCCAGCGAGGTCACTGAACTGATCCAGGCACCGCTATCTGAAATTTCTGAGAGGCCTGTCCTTGTGAGGGCCAGTGGCTCTCTTCACTGCACTGGTTACATCCTTAGATAGTAGTTTAAGCTGATGTAGTTTAAGCTGATGTGTCTGGATGGCATGCTAAAGTGCTTCACCATTAAATAGAATCAATAGACTCATCTCTTCCTTCTGCAACTAGTTCATACAGTTGCTAATTAAATAATGCCGTCTATTGTGCATGCAAGTCCGATTTTGCCTTGAGAAATAAATATATTTTTGTCCTTAATTAAGCTACAACTGTGCTCTTTTCTCTCATGAATTCATATTTGAATTGTTTTTGATGTTGGCAATGCATTTGTGTAATTGTCTTTTTCATTTAAAATATCAGTAAACTGTGTGAGAGACCCAGCGCATATTCAGGGTTTTGTTTACCCAGACTTTAATGTCAGTGGGAGATTAACCACGTCAGTATGTATATGACCACATTACACTTCTTTGTTGCCTTCTGTAAAACTGAGGTTCAAAAACGAAATTGAGCTACAGATATGAAAAGTCAAATGTAAATGTGACATCAACAGTAGATTTAAATAGTTTAACCTTGTAACATTGAATATTACTTTGCTCTATGTTTTGTTAAATACAACAGAACTCATCTTTAAGTTATGAATGAAGTTGTGAGTGTCCACATGAGCACATGAGTTGCTCTACACCATTTACTTGCCTAAATGGGTAAGTCAGTGCCTAGGCTCTTCCTTTCAGTTTGTTGATTTTTTATTTTAACCGGTAATCTCATGATCAATCTTTCTTTTTTAAAGATAGACCTTCATACAAGAAAGAACACATAAAAACATAGGCAAACAAAATTGATTAAAACACACAATTTTGTGGGCTCTAAATATCACATGGAGAAATTGTGGAGCACAAATAGGCAATCATTTCCACATGATTTTCTCAAGACCCACAGATCACTTTATTAGGGGTAAAACCTAAAGGCGTAGATGGAAAAGCTGCAAATTATTTATTGTACATCTTACTAACCGCAGCAATTTTTTCAATTACAATGAATTGGTTAAAGCCTGAGCAACAATTTGTGGACCCAAAAGGATCTGAGATTTCTGTGATATGGAGCAGATAACCTACTGTCTAAGGTTACCAAAGAACAAATTTGATCCTGGTCCTATAATGAGCTTATTAATGCAGTGATAACCTCAACTCACCGTATGGGGGGATCAATGCCATGATAACAATCCAGACAGGCTTGTTAATGTACTCACCCATCCCTCTAACCCCTGGAAGATAGATATATGGATGTAGTTATTTCATTTGAAATAACTATACATGCAATTATTTAGTATATTTGTATTTATTTCTTATTTTACTATTTCATTTATTTATGTTTTAGTTATTCCTATGTTTCCTATTATGTCATTATACAAAACCGATATGATGTCACTGAGAATAGAAAAAAATCCCAGAAAAACCAACATAACATTATGCACAATACAGGAATGATAAAGAAAACTTGATAGCTTGGGTGTTGTTTTTGACATCTTCAAACAGAATAGAGAGATTTTTATTTTAAAGTTTTGATGGAGAAATGCCACATGCCTTAATGACACAATAGAGGTCACAAATGAGGGATGCACAACTCAACCTATTTACTTAAGATATATGTGATTGGGCTGAATAATTATTGTGCTTTGTGTATATTTTCTGGTCAGCTGGCACGATATTACTTGCTTTTTGTTCTAACTAAGAGAAAATACCTGAATTATCATTAAAGAACATGATCAAGCTAAAGTTGCAAGTACATGAAGTCTTCCCTGCGTTCCTCAAGTGTCATTACAGCTCTTCCTTTGATTCCATCACTCATCTGCCCGTGTGCATTATCTGATCAATAACAATGCAACTTAATGTCATTCTGTTATATAGAACATTGCCTATAGATGTTTTTCTGGGGTCATCTATGGTTGGTGGATAAAGATGCAATAATTTGAGTCTGGCTCCATCTTGTCTTTAGTAAAGCAGTGTGATTAGAGTTCAAGTGCAGGATGTGCTCCATCTGAAATGATTTTATAGTGAGCCCTTTGTAAAGATTCACATGACGGTTTTGGCCTCAAGGACTTATTAAGATAAGAAAATATCATCCGGAAGATTTGTATTTAGTCCTCATCTCTGCAAGTTAAAATAAGAATCTATAATTCAGACAAGTTTCAT